GACTGTATAAATTTAAAATTTTAGGGTCACAGAATGCGGATTGCATGAGATATCTTTTTATTTACCTGAAAAATACAAGCACTTTGCTACTAACTACCCAATGAAAAGGCTTTCCTGAAAACGTCGTACGTTTTCCTATATTTTTTAGATTTCTCTAAATCCGCATGCGGCTGTTTTGTTATCGCCGCTGCCTGCACCCTCCTCGTCCCCAAGGCCTCTTGGGCGCGCGCGTCCTCCCTAGGCCCTGGGATATACACGGAACCGAAAGTGCAAGAAAACTTGCAGTAGTTTCTAAAGCGCATGCTCTTGAATTTGGACACTTTAGCACCCGTAACAATTTTCCCAGTGAAGTATTACGAAGAAACGAAGTATTTGCGTTGACATATGTTGATAGAATAACTTTGCCTAGCGAAAATTGCTCAACTTCTGCAAAACAGCAGTTCTCTGAGAAGCCAAATGAATCAGATTTCTCCATTTAGTCGTCCAACCCAGAGCCTAATTTTCAACAAGTGACCGAGTGAAAATGGGTCTGGGTACGAGAATGTACCTGCACTTGTTCCAAGACCTCAACCTGCCCCATGTGGAACTGCTCGAGGTAGCGTTACTTAGTCAATAATATATTTACTATATTTGTTTCATATTTATTCCGACCCTGTAGAGAACCAAAGAAAAATTAATTGTCTCGAGCGGAATTCGAATTCGCATCTTCGGTCTCCAGACCGCCGATTTATATATACTCATTGAGCTATCGAGTCAAAAGAAATTGCTAGCGAGTCTTATCCAATTTAAATGCGAGTGCGTGTTCGACAACGAATGTTCTCTGAATCACCTATATGTAAATATTTAAAAAGAAAATCAGTATTACTGCACAAATCCCATTTGTCACTGCACAAATTGGTTATCCCTGCGCCTTAAAATAATCACTGGCAGTGTCAGAATAAATATGAATCTAGTTCTTCAATTCTCTTAGGATGGTTCTGAAATGATTATATTACTGTATATATCAGAATTCGGAGAAATGAAGAATGTGGGAAAAGGTACAGTAGCACGGTGTAGTAAGAATTACATTGGATACAAAGTTGCCTATGCATGCATTAGAGAACGAAATTGTAAAAGATAGTTGACATGGCCGACAAGTGTGGTTGTGTGGAGTATCGATTTGATGAAAAAGGGGATCCGGAATTTATTCAGTTAGACGAAAATATCTGACAAACTTAATAGATATGCGTGCTATGGTATATAGGTATATGAAAATATGGAAATGAAAGGAAATCTGGTGAATGAGAGCTTGAACAGTGTGGGAGTGTCTTATCAAAAGACGAAGAAGAGGGATTATAACAAAATATATGTATGTTTTGAAATACGTTAGACACTACAAATCTTTAAAAATAGCTTCTGTAGGCCTAACATTATAATTGGAATCAAATTTCGAGAGTTGAAATTAAATAAAAGGGACACATTTTTTTGTATCTGCCAGAGGAATTGTCTAATTGTTTTTTAAACAATATTTGGGAAATTGATTTATCATGCATTGTGTTCACTCAACAATTTAAACTTACGCAAGACAACAATAACAAAAGTACGATTTTCCCACATATTTGAATTGTTTTGTAAACACATAACGTATTTTCCTGAGTAGCTGGTTAACACTGGGCCAATCAGGAAATCGGAACCATTCCAAGTATAGTTGATCACGGAATCTTCACACTTTATAATAAAATAAGGTAGTGATATTTGTTTGATAATTCCATCGTTGATTTCATATTTTGAGAACGGCTTAACAACCAGTACAGATCCATAGTCTAATTCGAAAACTAAATAAGAAACACAAAACGAAAACAAAGTCAAATTTTTGAATGAAAAACCAATGTTATATACAAAATATCGCGTGATAGTCATTTGAAAAACAGTGCAACAAAATGTTTTTATTATTCGTAGCCACAGTGCTCAAATTATTTGCCAAATTTTCTTTGTTGGGCCATACAGACGAATTGTACGTGCCAATTTTTTAATGATAATTGCACTTGTTCAAAAGCTAGCATACTATAGCTTTTGAATCATAGTAAACACTAGCAAAGTTGCGTGAAAAGATGTAGAGAACTTGCTCGTCTGTAACCGCTTTCCTTTAATATGTTGAAAGCTCAACATTATTAATGTGAATTTCAAAGGACTGTTGAAATTTGTTGCAATGTCGAAAGCTCAACATTGGAAGACGTGTTTCTACCTGTGTGTAAGGAGCTACGGAAAAATGTTGGCAACCGATAAATGAATACTCATTCAGTCTTTGTTCTCACGGCCATCAAACAAATTCTCGATTCCTGGACAAATATTATCAGGGAACGTTTCCTTCTTGCGAGAGGAAACCGGACTACCCGAAGAAAATCCACAACTTTCGGTAGAGCTTTGTCTTACTCTTTTCACGACCACGACCTCAGAATGTAAAGCGCTTGATCTGAATAATGCGACACACTGAAGCAGTTTATACTTAGTATGTAACTTATCACTATACTTCAAGTGGGGTGAAAGTAAATTCTTCTTTCGGATAGACAGAAATATAAGTGGGAACTTAGCTAACTTGATTTGCTCGGGCGTCTCAATAGAAACGGTATGTGCTAACTGCTAAGAATATGTCGGTGTACTTCAAAACTCCCCGCGGATATTGAGCATGCAGAAGCAGAAAAATGCCAAAGACAAGTGTGCATTTCTACGGTAACCATTTTAAGTGATGTACTGTTCATGCGCCCATGCAGGCTCTAGGAGATATTTTGGACTCTTTGGAAATCTATCCATTAATAAAAGTTATGACATGTCAACAACACCTTAGGAACGGCTTTCTTGTAATCATGTTTCCGATTCGTATAAGGTCTAATAAGGTATTGTGATAAAGAGAAGTTAAGAAAAATACCCGACCTTTGAGTCAAGAACTACTTTCTAAGGCGTATCGCCATAACAGCGAAGGTAAATGCATGTTAACGCACCGTTGATTCGATATGTGAAAATGAGGATTTCACAAAAATTGCTTATTGTACCGATCCACATTGGACATTGGATTATTTACTGTATGTGGATCAACAAAGATAATATAGAAAATACAGTATATTATTATATATATGAAAATATAGTATACAAAGATATGAAAATCAGACCTTCATATGTAGTAGTACCAGTTTTCCAACAGCTGAAGATGAGAACACAGGAAATGAATGTCCGTTGAATCGTCATCGAATACGTTTTCAGCTATTTTCCAATATGCCAGCTATCAAAACATATAGTAGATAAAATTTTATGAATTTCGGAGTTTACACAAACTTTTTATCTGATGCACAACTATAACGTCAATATCAAAATGATATCGCGACTGGCTTTGTTCCAATCACAGGCAGGTGACTTAAGTATATCTCTAATCTACTTCAGTATAAATCGCAAATATGTTTTGTGCTAATTCTAAAAATAATAGTCTTAAACCTTGCTCAGACCAGCTAAAATATTGAGCCATGCTGGCCATGCAGTATTTAGTAGGCTATATAGGTTGTACATTGAACACTATATAGACGACATTGCATGCATGCATTAAGCCTCAATGCTCATGCATTATATACTCAATAAGCGATAAGTGCAGCATACACACTGAAGAAAAAACAAGTTTTCGTTTGTGAACAAGTCAAGTACTTTCCGCTATTGCGCATGCTCATTCATTTAGATAAAGGCGAAGAGCCGCATGTGCAACAATCAACTAAGACCTGCATGCGATTAGCCAAGAAAATCAGCCTTTTAGGGTTCATATATGTACGACATTTCACTATATAGCTACTGTATATACATCCTATTAAATATTTGCATAATTGATAAACCTTTTAAGTTTCTTGAAGTAGATTCTCCATAAATTATTGAAGAAAATATTGTTTTGATAACACAAATGCAAGCTCTTTTGTCAAGCATCATTGACAAAAGCTGCTCATGCATATACAATATTTTGTCAATGATTACGGTAATTTTTTTCGCGCGTGGCGATCTGGCTGAAACCACATATATCAAATGCTAACCACCTTATGGAAAACCATCACTTCAGAATTAACTTTAGTTTGAAATTTACAGGCAAAAATAAAGTATCATGGACCGAATAACAAGATAATGAGAGAATCTCGTGTGCTTTATAACTAACATGCCAATGGTGCCGCCACACCATATTATTTTATCTTACTCAAAATTTATTGCATGATGCAAATTAAAGTATTTTTTTAAAATATTGAAATTTATCAGAGAACAGCAAACACCTGACTAACAAATATGAAAGGATTGAAGTATATTTATCTGCTTAACCTGCATGTATATACTAGTTGACGTAGAGAATACCTGCATGCATTCAGTACCGGATAAGCAATAGGCAGAAACGGCATATGAAACGGGCCCCCCGCTTACTCTCTTCGAATTTTTTGTTCCCTGCGTAAAATTATTGTCATGTAGTCATTAATTAACGATTCTGCTCTTCAAAAATCGCGTAAGCATAATGAAAACAAGGCATTTTCAGAATGTCTAAACTCCAATGGAAAATGGGTTATACTTAATGCATGTTCATGCAGCATGCAATCCTATATACGGATGTTGTTCATGGAGTTGTACAGCTAGTTTGACTTTGAATATTCTATACCCCTGTATAAATGTTATATAATGTTAATGTTAGTACTATAAACTGCACGGGTTGAATATTAGTTCAAATTATTGAAGTAAGTATATTTCTTATTGACATATATGGATGTTTATTACTATTTGTAAATACATGCATGCACAGGCTACTTTTCAACTCATGAAAAACAAAAGGATATTTTTATATTTTTGAATCTTTCTGGATTCAGTGTTCAAAATGTCGTTGGCGAAATGGGAGGAGGTCAGGGGACTTGATAATATGCATGCCACTTAATGAAAATAAATATCACTAGCCTCCCAAAAAATTTCATTTATATAAAGCTTCAAATTGAAATAGATTTTATTAAACTTCAAATAAATAAATATATAAACTAAAGATACTTTCGGGGCACAGCCCCTTCGTCTGTGCCCCGAAAAGTGTCTTTACTTTATGTATTTATTTATTTGAAGTTTAATAAAATTTATTTTCAATTTGAAGCTTTAATTATTTATATATATATATATATATATATATATATATATATATATATATATATATATATATATATATATATATATATATATATATATATATATATATATATATATATATATATATGATATAAAGTTAATCACTAACACATATTTTTTGACGTTTCGACTTTATTGTCTTCTTCCAAGTAAAAATCGTTAACATAAACCCCTACTTATATACCCTACCAGACGAACATAACTATTCATACTCCTCAGAATCCTGTTCAATGTTCAACCCCGAGGGGTACATTGTCATAAGTCTATTAATCCAGTACATTTCCCTAATCGTTGGTTCTGCTGGGTTGGTTTTATCAATTATGACTATATCACAGTCATTCATTAAGCCATTATGGTTTTCACCTAAGAAATGCGAATGAAAAAAGGCTTGTGTATGAGCTTTGTTGGACATTGCTTTCCTTTGACAAGATTTATAATTGTTCCATCGAAAGCGGAATTTATCTGTCGTCTGACCAACATATTGCTTCTTACACACTTTACATGAAAGCAGACGGCAAAGGAAATGGCTAAAATTTACCCATCGCCAACAACAAAAGAAAATCAACGACGTATTGCAGTTGGCGAACGTTACAGATAATCGGAAATACCGAAGGGGAAGGACGAAGTCACGGCTGAGCGAAATCAAGATCGATAGAATGCCAACAAGAAACTGTGAGTCAGATTCTCAAAACATGGGTGACATATGTGTGGTCGAACAGCCAGAAACAGAAATCCATCTAGAAGAGATGACAGCACTATCTAGAAGTGAAGATATAACAACGAAGATGTCAACGATGTTAAACAATAGCACGGGGGAGTCGACCATCAACAATAGCAATTCAACTGCAGTTATGAATATGAACGGTAGGATATTAGAACGTAATGAACCACCGTATAATATCTTAAGTACAGCAGGGCTAATTAACACCTCGGGCAATATCACAACAAATGCATCGGTTGCTAATCCAGCTGAATCTAACAATGCAATAGGGTCGATTAGTGTGAATGGGGTTCAAGCAAGCAATAACGATCGCTTAGTAGGCCACTTCATTTCAGAAAATGTTTTCAATCTTAGCCACAAAGTATTAAATGAAACTGAGATAAGTGTTCTGAGTAAAGGCTTACAGTTTGTTCCAACTACATTTAAGATAGATGAAGAGGACTTAAGGAAAGACTTTAACGAATTTACCCGTAGAATGCGTAATAAATGGCATTTCAGAGATAACGTAACGGCGGACTTCAGTGAAATTCCGGCATTTCGTCCGAAATCCACCTGGACACCACCTAAAGGTTGTCCGTCCTTAGAACTATTCTTAAGTCAAATTGAAAAAGAACTGTTTGAGTGTGTACCGCAAAAACTTTGGAAACACAATCTTAGTAAGATTGAGTGGCTAGCTTTGAAAACATTGACTGAAGATAACAGTATAATTATTAAACCAGCGGATAAAGGGTCGTGTGTTGTGGTCTGGGATAGAGATGACTATTTAGCAGAAGGTTTTCGCAACTAAGTAAAAATAATGTTTACACCAAAATGGAAAGGTTTTCGGAAGAAACTGTGATGTCTTTGACTGAGGAAAGCAACAACATGTTTCATAAGCTGTATAATCAAGGATGCATTTCGAAAGACGAATTTAAGTATTTTTCGTACGATTTTAAAAATTCGTGTGCACTGGGGAGGCTATATCTTTTACCTAAGATTCATAAAAGGCTTCGAAATGTACCCGGACGTCCTGTTATCTCTAATTGTGGGACTCCTACAGAGAGGGCGTCTGAATTCTTAGATCACCATCTTAAACCCATAATGAAAGCAGGGAAGTCCTACATTCGAGATACAGGACATTTTTTGGATAAATTAAAAGAAATAGGTAAAGTTCCGGAAAATGCATTGCTTGTAACTGCTGATGTTACAAGCCTCTATCCCAGTATCCCACACGAAGATGGTCTGCGAGCACTTCACACCAAGCTAGAGGAACGTGAAGATAAAACAGTGTCATCAGAAAGCCTTATTAGTTTAGCGGAATTTGCCCTTAAAAATAATTATTTTGAATTTAATTCAGATGTTTATCGTCAAATTTCTGGGACAGCCATGGGCACAAAATTTGCTCCTCCGTATGCATGCATTTTTATGGATATGGTGGAGACTGAGTTTTTAGAACAACAAGAAATAAAACCTTGGGTGTGGTTACGGTATATTGATGACATCTTTTTTGTCTGGTTAGAAGGTGAAGATAAACTGTTGCAGTTTATGGAAAAACTTAATACGTTCTATCCTGGCTTGAAATTTACATACGAGTACTCGCAGACTAAAGTGAATTTTCTTGATGTTTCGGTGGGAATTGATGCTGGTAGATTTATTACAAGTCTTTTTTGTAAGCCAACTGATTGCCATCAATATCTACATTATGAGTCATCACACCCTGCGCACGTTAAAAGATCTATCGTATATAGTCAGGGTTTGCGCATCAAGAAAATTTGCTCGCGTGAAGAGGATTTTGAGAAACACTTACAAGAACTGTCTAGTTGGCTTAAAAATAGAGCATATCCAACATGGCTCATAGAAAGAGAATTTAAGAGGGTCAGGGAATACAATATTGAAGCGGAAAGTAATAATATACTTAGAGAAAAAAGTTGTAAGACAGGAGTGCCTTTAACTATAGCTTTCCATCCTTTGTTAAAGCACTTTGGTTTAGTAATTAAGAAAAATTTGCATACTTTGTACTTAGACACTGAAGCTTGTAAAGTATTTACCCCTGAACCATTTACGGCGTTTAGAACAAGCCGTAATTTAAGAAGTTACTTAGTTAGAGCTAAGGTACCACCATTAGTAAGAGAGAAAGGATGTAAGAAATGTAATAAACCCAGGTGCTTGACGTGTCAAAATATTCACGAAACCGACACTTTAAGGTGCACAGCTGATGGTAAACAATACAAAGTGAACCATCATTTAAACTGTGACTCAAAGTGTGTGGTTTATCTTTTGGCATGTAAAGTGTGTAAGAAGCAATATGTTCGTCAGACGACAGATAAATTCCGCTTTCAATGGAACAATTATAAATCTTGTCAAAGGAAAGCAATGTCCAACAAAGCTCATACACAAGCCTTTTTTCATTCGCATTTCTTAGGTGAAAACCATAATGGCTTAATGAATGACTGTGATATAGTCATAATTGATAAAACCAACCCAGCAGAACCAACGATTAGGGAAATGTGCTGGATTAATAGACTTATGACAATGTACCCCTCGGGGTTGAACATTGAACATTGAACAGGATTCTGAGGAGTATGAATAATTATGTTCGTCTGGTAGGGTATATAAGTAGGGGTTTATGTTAACGATTTTTACTTGGAAGAAGACAATAAAGTCGAAACGTCAAAAAATATGTGTTAGTGATTAACTTATATATATATATATATATATATATATATATATATATATATATATATATATATATATATATATATATATATATATATATATATATAAAATAAACCTGGTTTACTTCATAAGATTTATTCACTACAAACTTGTTTCGTATGACAAGCAATGCTTGCCACACTCATCAGGTGAATTTAAATGTCGCGCTATGTTGTACTATACTATGTTGTTATACTATGTTGTTGTTGTTTTACAACATAGCGCGACATTTAAATTCACCTGATGAGTGTGGCAAGCATTGCTTGTCATACGAAACAAGTTTGTAGTGAATAAATCTTATGAAGTAAACCAGGTTTATTTTATCTTTATCAATATTTGCTCTATACTTCGGTATATCGAGCACTCTACTCATATATGATTCTAAATACATATTTGGTATATATATATATATATATATATATATATATATATATATATATATATATATATATATATATATATATATATATATATATATATATATATATATATATATATATATATATATATATATATAACACCGTTGGTCACCTACGCCCGCGATCATTGATGAACTTCCGACTTCGCTAATGCTTTCGTTTCCCCGGGTGTAAATAGCCGGGTGGATATACGCAAAGGCCGTTGGGTTTTAAAGCCATTTTAAAATCAATATTTAAAACAAACTTACCTTCGTTAACGTTGGCTCCCTTCTTTTAGGTGATTATTTCGCCCTTTCTTTCTTGAAATTTGCAAAGTCTTGAAAAAGTGCGAGCAAAAATGAAATATATTTGCAAGAAATTTATCAATCATCAAATCAATAAATGTTTGCTATTTCGCTGTCGTATATGCAGTCGTTATAATGCAAACTTTAAATTGGACCAATCACAGTGTTCGCTATTCATGACAGTCCGTCATATTTTTGAGATCAGTGAGGATGACCACCAACGCACAGTGAGCCACGCCCGCGATCATTGGTGAACTTTAGACTTCGCTAATGCTTTCGTTTCCCCGGGTGTAAATAGCCGGGTGGAATTAGTACGCTCGCACGGCGCTTCGCGCCGTCGGCTCGGGGATTACCTATACACAACTGGCTTCTGTGACTATATAAGTATTTTAATTAAGTTGTTCATATGCACATAACTTGCTCCATATGCAAATACTTGGCGCATTGGGAGGGAGCCATCAAAACAAACATTAACCTTGGGGTGGATCATGAAAAATTAACCAGAGTGGAAGATGGGCCACGAACAATTTATCAAGAGTTGCAAAAAATTTCGTCCGCCCCATCCCCCGTCATTACTAATGAAAAGCAAGAGCTGATGCAGATGTAGGAAATAGGTCGGATCTAAATGCGCTCGCAACTCCAACTTCAAGCTTGCAAATTACTTATTCTTATTTTCGCTCACTTGTAGCGTCCGTTAACTACTTGAGTCAAATAACTCATATTGACAAACTTAATTTAGAAACAAGATGGCGGACGGCATGCTGTGTTTAGCTCTCGCCGTTTCTGCATGACAAAGTTAACTTATATTCTTTCAATCTTCTTTAAGCTGTGTGTTTAGGAAGGACCTAAACTTAAAAATATAAGTCTAATACACGTCTTTATCTTTTTTCAACCGCTTGTGTTAAAAATAACTGGAGACATTAGTGATTTAGGCGAGGAGTAAAACAGTGCACATCCCTGCATGTGAAAAAAGTTATTTATATGACAGTCCACATTATGAATGGAAACTATAATGCATGCTATTATTTACCGTTAGCATGCATCTCTTTTTAATTTTATTAGGATAGTGTTTAATTAATCTTAATGCGAACTCTGAAACTCAGTCTGAGTGCAAAGCTAATGAATGAATTGACAACATTTATAACGAAAATGTATTTTATTAAATGTTATTTTATTTTATTTATAAATCTTAATTCTCAGTATAAATCAAGATCTTCTACATATCACTGTATTTACATGCATCACTAACTTTTGAAGTCCTCGCGCGGCGCCAGATCTGACTTTAAGTAACGTTTATGATTTTCTTAACATAAGTGATAGCTATAGCTATTATGACTGGACTGTTTTGTGTGATCTGAAATAGGCCTACTGCATGCGAGAACTATTGCGAACCGTCATTTGATTTTAATCGCATGCGTCCTATACTTGCGAAAATATCTTATCGGTACGTTCGTTGCAAAAACATTGAGCGTCATATACACGTTACGTGCTTACCTTCACCTGTATGTTTCCCTTCAATTCTGAGTGGTTCCTCTTTCTACTCTGAAAATATTTCCTCTCTAGCCTTTTTCTAACAGATATAGCTACGTCGAGTGCAAGTGGCGAAAACAACGAAAACACCACGAAGTTAATTCAAGCTACCACTTAACCTGTTACTTGGCAGCTGTTTCATTCATTAATTCAGTGAGAGTAGCGTATTGATTAGACTGAATCAGGCTTTTGCTGCCATTTCGATGAATTTTTAATAATGACACAAGCAAATTAACAGTCAATATTTATGACCCTGATATCTGATAATTATATGTAAACATGTGATAATTACATGTAAACATGTAAAGGTCAATTTACGCTACACAATGTTTGCTTAAAACTGCCGCATGCAACCTGCTTATAACTTGAGTTGTATACTGTGTAAATCAAGGACACAACTCGCCTATACGTTGTCTCGTCTATAGGTGAGTTGCGTGCTTGACTGAAGTATACAACTCTGTTAGCAGGTTGCGTGTGACAGTTTTAGGCAACAGTAAACACGACTCAAAAATAAAAAAAACCCGACATATTTACACAACAGTCAGGGCCGTAGCTGTAGACCAATAATTGGGGGGGGGG